AAGGAGTTTGTAAGCCGCTCTGAGACTCCAAGTAAAGGGTGGGGTATAAATCCAATCTCTTCTTATTCTTATTCTTCTAAACTGGGGCCTTCTTCATGCCAAGCAGATGCTCCACCAGTTTCCTACTTAATCCTGGTTCACCCTTCTAGGGTGCCTTGTTCTTTGCAAAGGCTTCTGGGGGAGTCCAGGAAGTCTGCCCTACCGATGGCCGTTCGGATCCCTCGTCGATTTGCAAACGATCGATGTCTTCAGCTGCTATTGCTTTTTTCCCTTGTAGCTTTCTTTTCTTTCTTTTTTGTCGTTGTCATTGATACAGAATGCCTCCAAGCTCTGACACTTGTGAGCCAAGCCGAACTGAAGGCCTTCCTACTGCCCCTACTAAATGGTATGAATTAATCAATGTCTCCATTCCTGTGGTGCTTCTTTAGCCTTCGACTGAGTAGGATTTCTGCTGAGCCAGAAAAAAAGAAAGAAAGAAATAGGTCAGGGAAAGTCTTGTTTCTGGAAATATTGTACTTCTCTCATGAAAGGGGCTGTTGTGGATTATTTATTTATTTATTTGCTTCCTCTATACCCCACATAGCGGGCACCCAAAGCGGTTTGCATCCTGCTCCTCTCTTCCGTTTGATATTCATAAGCAACCCTGTGGGGTAGCTTGGGCTCAGAACGTGTGACTCTCCCAGTGCAGAGTGTGGATTCGAACCTGGGTCTCCCAGATCCTAGTGCAACACTCTTGCCCAGTGGTCCCCAACATGGTGCCTATGGGTGCCCTACTGCCCATCAACGCCTTCCCTGGTGCCCTCTGAGTGTTTTTAGGAAGTGTGAGGGGCCAGGTGGGGCTTTTGCCCAGCAAGGCTGCTGACTGGCCATTGGAGATTTTGATTGGCTGTGCAGATTTTTTAAAAATGTTGCTTTGGCAGCCGCTGCCACCAAAGCACAGTAATCTTCACTGTGTGACTGAAGGAAGGCTGTGGCAGCCATCTTGTGTCTGGCTCTGCCTTCTCTGGCAGCCATTTTGTGTCTGGCTCTGCCTTCTCTGGCAGCCATTTTGTGGCTGCACCCACCTAGGGCTGCCAAATGCAGCCGGGGGGCGGGGAATCCCCCGTTTCGGAGCCCCGTTTCGGAAAACTCTTTGTTTTCCCCTCAAATCGCGTGGCGACGTCACTTCCGGGTGATGTGCACGCTGTGCGCGTGCGCGCTGCGCGCGCGCACACACACCCGGGATCGTCTGGGAGCCCCCCGCTCTCGGACGATCCCGATTTGGCAACCCTACACCCACCCGTGCTGTGTCAGAATTCCAAAGGGGCCCACCTTTGAGCGGTGGAATCTAATCTGGAGAAGTGGGTTTGATTCCCCACTCCTCCGCATGAAGCCAATTGGGTGACCTTGGGTCATTCACAGCTCTTTCAGAGCTCTCTCAGCCCCACCTACCTCACAGGGTGTCTGTTGTGGGGAGAGGAAGGGAAGGTGACTGTAAGCCATTTTGAGACTCCTTACAGTAGAGAAAAGTGGGATATGAAAATCAGCTCCTCCTCTTCTTCTTCCTCCTCCTCCACATGAAGCCAGTTGGGTGACCTTGGGCCAGTCACAGTTCTCTCAGAGCTCTCTCAGCCCCACCTACCTCACAGGGTGTCTGTTGCGGGGAGAGGAAGGGAAAGTGATTGTAAGCCGTTCCGAGACTCCTTCGGGTAGAGAAAAGTGAGGTATAAAAACCAACTCTTCTTCTTTGCAGAGGTGGGAGGGAGAGCTCATACGTACAGTGTATTTAGACTGTTCTTAAGATTGTCTTCGTATCTCAGTTTAGATGTTTGTGTCTGTTTATGTCTTTAGGCTTTTTAGCAGTGGCTGTAATGAACTTAGATATGATTGGTTTGAATTGTGATGTAAAATGTGTACTACTGAAATCTGGATCTTGTTCTTCCAAGCCAACAATGTTGAGGACAATACCCAGATACGTGAACCTGGTTTACAGTCTCCTCCATCCGCTGAAACAACAAGAAGCCCAGGAGATAGTTTTTCTTTGTGAGTAAAAGGGTATAAATAATATTTACTCGCTCTTTGTGTGCGTGGGTGTGTGGGATTTGTTCCATTAATTACCTGACAAAGAGAGCTTCGATTCTCAGGTATCTGGCAAAGAGAGCTTTGATTCTTGAACACTCCTGACCTGAAAATCGTGTTGGTCTCTGAGGGTCTACTGGGCTTGTATCTAGATACAAACAGAAAGTGAGTGTTCGGGCCAAGCTGAGTGAAACCCTGGCCCCAAAGGAATCCCTTTTTGGCAGCGGGGGGGGGGGGTCGACAAATTGCTTGTATCTAGAGCCAGCATGGGGGGGGGGTTAAGTTAGCGGCAGGCCTCTCATCTGGAGAACCAGGTTCAAAGAAGAAGAAAAGATGAAGAGATTGGATTTGTACCCCGCCTTTCACCACTACAGCAAACTGGCTCTTTTTTTTTTGTCAAAATTTTTTTTATTTAGGATATAAACATTCATAATCAACATTAAATTTTTTACATTTGTCCCTTCATACCCTACCCACCTCCCTTTTCCCCTCCCTAATATATGGCTTCCCACAGTGCTTCGACCTCCTGCCCATCTCTTTATTAATTTTTACAACAACAATTTTCTTTTTGTAATTCACTAGGTAACTATTATTTCACTATAGTAATTAATTTTTAACTTATCCTATCTCCCAAGCATTCTATGATTAATAATTATTAAAACTAAACAAATTGTCTTTTACTTCCCAATACTTTTCTAAGTATTCTTTTAGATCCTTCCAGTCATTATAGAAATCTTCTGCTTCCATATTATTCAACTTTCTTGTCAGTTTGTCCATTTCAACTGAAAATAATACAGCAAACGGGCTCTTGATTCCCCGCTCCTCCGCGTTAAGCCTGCTGGGAGACCTTGGGCCAGTCCCAGTTTTCTCAGAGCTCTCACAGCCCCACCCACCTCACAGGGTGTCTGTTGTGGAGAGGGGAAAGGAAAGGAGATTGTAAGCCCCTCTGAGACTCCTTAGGGTAGAGAAAGGCAGGGTATTAAAAAACTACTACTACCTATTCGATGAAAAATAGCCATCACTAGGGTAGGACATAATTAAGTGTCCTGGATGCTGTGATCATATTTATAATAGGATCGGCTGCACGATGTTCATCAAAATGCTCAGGCGAGTGTCACGGTGGGTCATAAATACAGACATTGAAATGTGGGTGAATGTGTTGCTGGATTTAATGAATAACTCCGTTTTGATGTAGCAGTTAGGAGCGCGGACTCTAATCTGGGAGAACCGGGTTTGATTCCCCACTCCTCCACATGCAGCTGCTGGTGTGACCTTGGGTCAGTTACAAGTTCTCTCAGAGCTGTTCTCTCAGGAGCAGTCCTTGAAAGAGCTCTCTCAGCCCCACCTACCTCACAGGGTGTCTGTTGTGGGGAAGGGAAGGGAAAGGGATTGTAAGCCACTCTGAGACTCCTTCAGGTAGTGAAGGGCAGGGTATAAATCCCATCTCTTCTTCTTCTTCGTTTTGTTTTTAAACAAATCCAACCTATTGGCTGGTTGGCTGACATGCTTTTTCAACTCTTGGCACGAGTGAAGAATGGCAATAAAGGAAGTGGTGTCTCCAAGGGCCACAGGAGATCCTGCAGGAGCAGCAAAAGCACCTTCAAGACTCCCCTGCCGGCGTCACACCTGCTCCCAGGACTGTCTTGTCCCAAGGCCCTGGAACTCCTACAAAGGTGGGAACCCCCTGAACCTGCCCCTGCTGTGTGGCTTCCAGAGGAGGCACGCCAAAGCAGACCTGCCCTCCAAGACGCTGGACGTGGTCTATAAAGCCCCCTGCGGAAGGAGCCTGAGGAGTTTCGAGGAGGTCCAGGATTACTTGCTCCAAACGAAGTGCAGCTTTCTGTTTCTGGATCACTTTTCTTTCAACACTTACGTCCAGGTCTTCAGAAGCTACCCCAGCCGGAAAGGATCTGTGTTCGATTACGATCTCAGCAAAGGAGTGGAGATGACGCCCGTTTCGTTTTGCAACGAGGTCGACCACGAGCGACTGCCTTACTTTAAGTATCGCAAGACCTCCTGGCCCCGTGGGCTCTTCCTGAACAATTTGTCTAGCGCATTCCTCGCCTCATGCGAGTGCACGGACGGCTGCAGGGACGCGTAAGTATCGAGAGCGCAGCTGGTATTGCGAGGATCTGGATGGGTTTGCTCTCTGGTGCATGTTCACGGATTGCTGAAGCAGGATGGGGTATTTGTGTGTGTGTGCGTGTGTTTGTGTGAGTGTGTGTGTAGCCTCTTGCCCAGAGATTTGCAGAATGCACTGTCAGTGGTGGAGAATGTACATGAGGGCAGTGTTCCCTCTAAGCTAGGATTGCCAAATGGGGCCGGGGGTCGGGGAATCCCCCGCTTTGGCGGCCCGATTTCCGCCCCGGCTCACATTTCCGCCACATCGCTCACATTGGGGGCGTGGCCATTGTCGGGGGGGGGGAACCATATGGTTTCCTCCCCGACGATCTGGGCGATGCGGCTAAAAAACTGAGCTAGCTCACACTAACTCAGCTTAGAGGGAACACTAATCACGGGATAAGTGAATAGAAAATAGTCGATGGCAACTGATATATTTACAAAGGGAATATCACTCTTTCGTAGATTTTTTTTTAAAAAGATCAGTATTAATACTAATAGTAATACATTTCCGTAAATTCACGCAAGAATAATAATCAAAAAATGATTTCCACAATGTTGTTCTGAGAACCATTCGAGTCTTTGAGAGCAAGCATACAGAGAGAAAGCTGAAGATTGCACTGAGTGTGGGCATTATGCAGAGAGACGGCGT